CAGTGATGTTTTTAGTGTCCCCTTAAATGATGAATGTGAGACTGAATGCAATTTCAAATGTTTGGACCTGAATATTGGAATGGACGTTCACCGTAAGATTTAGACTTGGTGCGTGGTTTTGTTAATATACGATCCTCTGATGACGAACGCAATTGTCTAGCGAATGTAGAAGACTTGACAGGTATTGTGGGCTAGTGTTACTTCTTGATAAGAAGCACAAACTTGAAATGTTATATTCAATACGTCTGTTAACTGGAGGCCAGTAAAGCGATTTTAAAAGTGGTGAAATGTGAGAAGATAAACCTCGCTTGCAGACATGACAAGCTGCTGAATTCTGAACTTGATGAAGTTTCTTTATCAAATAATCAGGACATATGACTAATGAGCTATTGCAATAGTCAAGCGTTTGGTGTGACAAATAGAAGAAATACGTCTCAGTTGAATATGGCATGATTTGCATATATTATTTACTTGCTGTGACATATTGATATTGCAATCAAGTGTGACACCAAGATTGCAGACTGATAACAAGAAAGAGATATCAGACTCGCCAATGGACATCGTTGAGGGTAGTGAAGATCTAGATGCTACTTTTGATGAGCATACAAGCATAGCCTCGGTTTTTGAGTCATTAAGTTGTAATTTGTTCTGTGCCATCCTTTTTTGATATCGGTAATGCAATTCTGGACAAAAGATGATATTAAACTCTGGTCATGTGACTAGATAGCCAATAATCATAACTAAGATTTGTGACATACATAATTAGTGTGGTCCAACAAATTGTTGTACTGTAGAATACTTTATTTTCGCTGAAGGGATGATTCCGTGAAAATAAAATCCATTGAATATACTTTTTTTCCTATATTTCACATTAAACTCATGAAAAATCAGTGAAAATAAATTCCAAGCAAAACGCCCAAAAAGCCTTTTCAGCGAAAATTAATTCCAGTGAAAATAAAGTTTCCACAGTATTACAACTGATAGACTCAGGAGTAGTGCGCCCTCTGTTGATATGATGTATCACTAACACACGAAAGTTGCTGTGGTGCAAACAATGAGGCAATTATTTATTGATGTAACAGAAAATCATACATTAATTTAGTATTTTGATAAAAATAGCTTACTATAGTTTTGGAAAATCACATTTTATAGTCAAAATAAGTGTACAGGGTCCATAGCACCAAGAGCCAAATCATTTCTAAGACTTTTCCAGACCTTTTCCAAAACTTTCTTGCATTTTTCCGAAGACATTTAATTCGGGTGCGGGGATAGCAATCGCTGCCGACACTTGTTGGAAGTGGGGTAGAAAACACTTTATAAAAAAAGACTATGCAGAGAAAACGGGCCTTTCAAACATGAATTACCGGTAATAACTATGAAGACTTTTCAAAGACTTTCCAGACCTCAAAAAATCCACAGACTTTCAAAGGATTTTCCCAACGCTACTGCCCCTGGTGTAAAAACCAAGGCAACAGCATTTTGTGTCTCAAGTCACCAATATAGTCACATACAATTTTTCTTGAAAAACGACCTTCTCATTTTTGTTTTGAGAGATTCCATATTTTTGTAGTATTGATTAATATTTCTATTGCTATACACTGAAAGAAATATGTATTTCAAAAAATGTAAGAAACAATTATTATTTATATTATTATTTACTTAGTATCCTGGCAGAATCATTCCTGTTAGAGG